ACTAGACTGAAGAACAAAACGACAGCAACTTGTCTGTTCCCCTTCCCCCAATTCCCCAGCGCTGTTCCTATCCCCCCAATTCCCCTATTTAAAAAAAAAAAGGAAAAAAATCTTAAAAAGAAAAGATTAGTTTTGGGGAGAGATTGAAACTACAATTAGGTCAGTTATTAAACTAGCTTTGGTTTTATGGACTTTCAGCACGGGATGCCAATTTGGGCCTATTGTTTTATGTTTAATAATAGCCTTTTAGAAGCACAGGTAACAACCTGGACTTGCAATTAGCATATGAAGTGAGAGTCAGGGGGCAGTCTTGTGGTACTGAACTCTTAACCTATGTTAAGGTAGACAGTGTCAGAATTGAGTTTTTGCTGCAGTTAACAATGAGCAAACCCTGCTGGAAGTAGGAGACCACTTTACAGGATCCCTCCTGTGGCAAACGTTCTGGTGGTTTAGGATGAACTCCCTTTCCTCAGGCTCAAGAAAGCTGGGAACTACCTTACCCAGGAGACACTGCGCTGAGTTGAGCCAATGAAAAATCATGATGAAAATACTTACATGAGATTTCACCCTGTTGGGGCGGGACTTCCGGTCTCCTCCTCCTGGCGGCCATCCTTGCTGTTCTGAGTATCTTCTGGTTTTGGATTGCGGGGTCTGGATCCAGGTGCCATACTGAAAAGTCGTGGAGGAGTCGTGATCCCCGCCCCACAGACGCGGGTCTGATGCTCGGCGACGACGCCCGGGTGACCCGCGCCAGGGCCGGGTCAGGGACCGCCGCGCCTGGGGCCTCCTAGACTCCCGCAGCTTCCGCCCCGCCCACAGAGTCCGATGGCGGCGGCTGCACTGAGGGGCCCGGTTCAGGTGAGTGCGCATCCCCCGGGTTCTCACCGCCCTCATCCCATCCAAACCCAAAAGCCACGGTGCGGGGCGCCTGCTCACGTTCTGCAGCCCAGGCCCCGGTGGATCGCATAGGTGGGGGAATACAGGTAATCATGACAGTGCTACTAGTTGGTCAGGAAGAGGAGGAGGGTGCCTGATGAGAAGTGATCACGGTTACTGTAGGTGAGAGAGAATAGTTTTGCAGGTGACTAAGGCTTCGATGGGATGAGTGGACATTGTGGTTGTGGAACCAGAGGAATAATTGAGACAAGATGACATTGAGGACAGGGCTCCTGCTTATTCACTGCTGTATGGAGTCACCTGAATTTTGTGGTGAGCTTTGGTGGGGTCTGCGGAGTTTCCGTCTTGCCGGTGGGTAAGCTCTGGGGCTGATACAGTCATTGTGAGTCATTGCTCCTGTAATGGAGATCATCAGGGCTAGGGTTTAAAGGAGGGTTGAGTGGACAGAGGAGTGTTGTGGCCGCTGACAGGAAGAGCAGCACAGAAGTGGAAGTGGGTCACCAGCACCTGAAATTCACTAGTGGTTCGGTATGGCTAATATTGAAGCAAAGATCAGATGTGAAGAGGAGGCCTTCAAAGTAGAATTTGAGGCTTTCCCTTAATGCGTAGCTGTGGGAATGCAACTGGGAACCGAAGATGTGAGAGAGTTACAGGGTACAGAATGATATGCATATTGAGAAGTGTGAGCTGATAGCTTCAGGGCCCTAGTTTTGGGGACTGGAGGGTGAAGCATAAGCCCACTTTTGGCTGAATCTGTAGTCACAATCTACACACCCCAGGGGAGTTGATGGGCCGGGTGGATGGGACCCTACAGGCCAGAGCGAAAGCTTGGATTACATTTCTGTACCCTCCTGCCTGATGTTGTTGAGAGCTGAACACAGTGACTAAAGGGACCCTGAGGATAGGGTGGGCATCAGTGGCACCTAGGTGTGGAATTCCTCTGAAGTGGGGAGCTTTAGAGGATCAGTGTGGGATAGATTTGTGGGAAGATGGACTGTGGGTTCTCGGAAACAGAATGTTCATGGTTTCATCTGTCCCTTATAACAGGACAGTGTGACCTTTGAGGACGTGGCTGTGTTCTTCTCCTGGGAGGAATGGAGGTTCCTTGATGAGGCTCAGAGACGCCTGTACTTTGATGTGATGCTGGAGAACTTTGCACTTATATCCTCGCTGGGTAAGACTCACAGCCTCCCCAGTGACCTGGACTAGGCTCTGTCCTGCCTCACATTCCTTTTCCCAGTGGGTGCTCTGTCCTCACTCATGGACTGTGTGCACTGCTTGTTGCTTCCCCAGTTTTCTGGGGGGTTGCTGTGTTACTATGGATAGTTTGTTTGCACTGCCCTCTTCTCTCCCTGCAGCTCCAATACCTGCTGTACTTCCCTTTTTGGAAGGATTCAAGGTCAGTATTGCAGTGAGCTTAATGGATTTCACCATTAATGGTGAATGGGCTAGATCCATATCATTTCTATGTCCCAGGGCTTGATCCCTTCCTTTAGCTGTCATTTCCTCCTGCCTGCCTGTGCCAGGAATTGCAGGTGTTGTGGTCATTACTCATGTAAACCGTAGGCTTCTTTTCAACACCCTCCTGCACGATTTGTAGTGTTTACACCTGCTTTCTTCCCGCCCCCCCCCCAGCCATGTCAAGATATAAAATTGTGTATATATATTAAAGTGTAGTGTGGTGATTTACACACACACACACACACGCGCACACACACACACACACATTGTGAAATAATTGCCACAATGAAGTTAATTAAACATCATCACCTTATTTTTTTTTTACGGTAAGAGTGCTCAAGATCTACTCTCAGTAAATTTCAAGTATATAAAATAATTATTAACTATAATCACCTTGCTCTTAATTACATCCTCAGAACTTACTCATGTTATAACTGAATCTTTGTATCTTTTGACCAACATCTTCCCATTTCCTCCCATGCCCCATATCCTGACATCCTACTCTTTTTCTATGATTTTAACCTTTGTTTTTTAAAAAATTTATGAGAACATAGCTAACATACACTGTTATATTAGTTTCAGGTGTACGCCATAGTTATTCAACATTTATATACCTAAAGAAGGGATCACCATGATAAGTCTAGTAAGCATCCGACACTTATAATGTTAGAGCTTTTTTTCTTTTACATTTCAGCTGTAATGTGTAAAGGTTCCCATCTGTCTATATCTTCACCAACACTTATCTCTGCTCTTTTGATGGTAGCCATCTTATCAAGTGAGAGGTGATATTGTCATTTTAATTTGCATTTTCCTGATGATTAGTGAGAAAGAACATCTTTTTATATATGTTGGCCATTTTTTGATCTTTGATAAAATGTTTATTTAGGTCCGTTGCCCATTTTTAATTGGCTTGTTCTTTTGCTATTGAGTTGTATGAGTACCTTATATATTTTATTTTACTTTATTTTTTGTACCAGCTGAGCCATCCTGCCACCTGTTGGCAGCTCAGCAATAGCTCAGCTCAGATGCAGCGCCACTGGCCCACATGGGAACTGAACCAGCGGCTCTGTTGTTCAGAGCCTGCACTCCCAAGCTAACTCCTAACCAACTGAACCACTCGGCCGGACCTGGTACCTTATATATTTTAGATATCAATCCCTTATGAGACAGCCTTTACAAATATTTTCTCACTTTTCATTTTATTGATTGCTTCCTTTGCTTTACAGAAGCTTTTTAGTTTGATGTAGCCCAACTTATTTATTTTTGCCTTTGTTGTCTTTGCTTTTAGTGTCATATCCAAAAACATTATTGCCAAAACTAATGTCAAGGAGTTTATCCTCTCTCTTTTTTTTATCAAGAAATTTTACATTTTCAAGTGTTACATTTAAGTCTTTAATGCATTTCGAGTTAAATTTTTTTTTCATGGTTAATCTGTCCATTTATTTATTTATTTATTTTTAAAAAGTTTTTATTGGGGAACATAATGGGAACAGTGTGTTTTTCCAGGACCCATCAGCTCCAAGTTAAGTCGTTGTTGCAATCTAGTCGTGGAGGGCTCAGCTCAGCTCCAAGTTCAATTGCCATTTTCAGTCTAGTTGCGGGGGGAGGGGGTCGTAGCCCACCATCCCATGTGGGAATCGAACCGGCAGCCTTGTTGTTAAGAGCACATGCTCTAACCAGCTGAGCCATCCAGTCGCCCACCAACAGCTCAGCAGCAGCTCAGCTCAAGTCGTTGCCTTCAATCTAGTTGCGGAGGGCGCAGCTCACTTGTCCATGTGGGAATCAAACTGGCAACCTTCGTGTTCAGAGCACGTGCTCTAACCAATTGAGCCACCTGGCCGCTCAATTTGAGTTAATTTGAGTCAAATTGAGTTAATTTTTGTGAGTGATATAAGGTAGGACCCCAGTTTCTTTTCTTTGCATGTGCATATCCAGTTTTCTCAACACCATTTATTGAACAGACTACCCTTTCACCACTGTATGGTATTGGTACCCTTGTCAAAGAGTAGTTGACCACATCTGTGTGGGTCTATTTCTGGGCTCTCTATATCCTACCTCATAGATCTTTGTGTCTATTTTTATTCTAGTACCATACTGGTTTCATTACTGTTGTTTTATAATATAGTTAAATCATGAAGTGTGATGTCTGTAATGTTGATCTTTTTGATCAAATTTGTTTGGCTTTTGGGATTATTTGTGGTTTAAATTTTACTATTCTTCTATTTCTGGTAAATATGCCATTGGAATTTTGGTAGCAGTTGCTTTGAATCTGTAGAGTGCTTTGGGTAGTAGAGATATTTTAACAGTAATAATTCTTCCAGTCCAAGAATACAGGATACCTTTCCATTTATTTGTGTGTTCAGTTTCTTTCATCAGTGTCTTATTGTTTTCAGAGTCCAAATCTTTCACCTTCTTAGTTAAATTTATTCCTACTGTAAAAAGTATTTTATCATTTCTAATGCTATTATAAATGGGATTCATTTCTTAATTTCTTATTGAGATATTTCATTATTACTATATAGATGCAACTGATTTTTTTGTGTTCATTTTGTATTCTTCAAATTTCTGTTATTCTGACAGCTTTTTGGTGATTTTAGGATTTTCTTATATAAGATTGTCATCTGCAAAGAGTTTTACTTCTTTTTCGACTTACATACACTTTTCATTTCTCTTTCTTTCTTTATTGTCTTGGCTAGGACTTCTAGTACTATTTTGAATATCCGTGGTGAGGCTGGGCACCCTTCACTTGTTCCTGATCTTAGAGAAAAAGCTTTTACCTTTTCACTATTGAATACACTGGTAGGTGTGGGCTTATATGCAGCCTTTGTGATATTGAGGTACATACCTACTATACCTAGTTTTTTAATTTTTTATCATGAAACAATTCTGAATTTTGCCAGTTGCTTTTCCTGCATCTATTGAGATGATATATGATTTTTTCTTTATTCTGTTAATATGGTATAGCACATTTATTGATTTGCTTATGATGCACCATCTTTGCACTCGAGGGATAAATCCCCCATGATCCCGGTTTATGATTATTTTCAAGTGCTGTTGAATTTGTTTTCTAATAATTTGGGGATTTTTTGTTGTTGTTTTTAAACATCTGTATTCATAAGGGATGTTAGCCAGTAATATTCTTTTCTTGCAGTGCCCTTGTCTAGCTTTGGTGTCAGGTTAAAGCTGGCCTCCAAAAATGAGTTTGGAAATGTTTCTTCCTATTTAAATTTTTGGAAGAGTTTAAAAAGGATTGACATTGGGCCAGCCGAGTGGTGCGTTGGTTAAGAGTTAGCTTGGGATGCCAGCTCTGAGCATCAAGGCCCCGGTTCAGATTCCATATGAGGGCCCTCTACAGCTAAGCTGGTGAACAACAGCTTGACCTGGAGCTGGGCTGCTGTGAGTTGCTGGCGACAGTGTAGGCTGCAGTGGAGCTGCAGTGGGCTGCCATAAGCTACCTTGAGTGGCTGGCAGCCGGCATGAGTGGCCGGCAGCTGGTGTGAGCTGCCAAGAGCCGCAGTGAGTGACTGTCCAGAGGCCGGCGACCAATCTGCTTCAGCCAG